TCAACCCATATGACAAAGGAACTGCTTGATCAAGAATTGGGCTAAACTTGTCCTCGTGGAGGAAATTATGACAGAATTAATCTACATTTGAGTTACATGGTGAGAAAAACAACGAAAGTTTCCTGCGATTAGTCCAATGGCTAAGGGATTATAACCCGTGACCCGTCTACCTCATCGGATATTTTTTCATCGGCAGTCAGTGTGAGCAGGAAGCAGAATTCGTATCGACTAGTCATCGCTGGGATTTGAACCTGGGTTCCATTATTGGAAGGTAAGCGCTCTCTCCCCTGAGCAACAGAGCGGACATTTCGTAAAATTATGAAATATACTAACTTTAATTCGTTTGAGGATATCAACTAGGTTTCTCATCATCGTTTCCTGAAAATAACTGAAAATGAACCTGAAAATAACACTTTTTTTAAATTTAGGTTTCATTCCCTATACAATCGCCATTATTGATATGTAGCATTAAGCTTAATGCTTTTTTTAAAGAAAAATTTAATCTTTAAAGAAATGAAGATAGTTAATAAATTTGATAAAATACCCTCTCGGAAAAAAAATGTTTGGCAAAAACGAAGAAATTTTTATGAATTTTGAATATCTATTTTTCGTACTAAAAAATTCTTACACGAAGAAATAATTCTGAGAAAATTACCGTACTGTTTAGTTATGACATTTAATAAGGAANCCAGGAAACTCGCCGTTCTTCTTTAAGATGTTACATTAAATAAAAAATACGTCGATAAAGTAACTTGCAGTCAAAAAGAAAGTTACTGTCCTTCATGAAATGTGGTAATACAAATATTTTGTTCAACTACATAGAGATTTATTTGCATCCTTTAGCACGGTTTTGTTAAGAAAATTTTAGTTAGAATGTTAAAAAATTACTGCCAACTTTACTTGGCATTGAAATAAGAAATTCGATTAGTAGTTTGATTCTTATGGATAAGAAACTTCTGGGTAATGGGTTTACTTTAGTTTGCCATATCCTTGCTTTTGATGATTCAGTAGTTTATTTCATTAGTTTTAACTATTATTTGGCCATGTTATCCCATGACTTTTAATGAAAAGTGTTCTTTCATATGAGTAGGCTAAGCAATTGTTTTAGTCGTTATATATGTTGAATTTAGTTTAATGCTCGTGACTAAATTTACTTCCCTAAGCATGCAATTTTCCTCAATATTTTCAATAGGGCGTTACCTAACGCTCAATTTTTTTTCAATAAGGAAGAAAATTTCATGAATTTTGAACGTCCATGTTTTGTTGCATGAAGTACATTGTAGTAATACAATACGAGGCATATTATAGTAAATAGCTTACTACATGTTTCAAAGCGCCCATATAGAGTTTGACGCTAGTTGCCACAAGGTATAGACATCGACAAGAGCAAACAAAGAGTCACTAAAATCAGTTTTTGAAAATAAACGTGCAACTTGTGTTCGCCTTATGCGTTTTTTTTTCTTTCAGGTTTTTGGTCCCATAACAGAAGAACTTTCAAAACGATCGTATCATTTAGTGAAATCTATAGCCAAACAATGCTTATCAGAAATTTGCCAAATACAAGAGATATTTTGCACACCTTTTCGTCGCTTAAATTCTGTCTCTTTGCCTAACTATAAAATTAATTTGCTTAATTATGAATCTAACTAATCTTCTGTTGGCAATTAACTGCTTCGCGCTTGCGCAGTATTACAGGGTGCGTAGCCAAATTTTTCAACAAAAAGTTAGCACCTTTTAAGCACTTTTCACGCACTCAAAAATATTTTTAAGCACTTTATAAGAAATATTATAATTAGACATGGTTAGCAAGTTTTTGACAATTGTCGGTTTTATCCGGTTTTAACCATCATGTCAAAAAAAATAACTTTTAGCATAATTTTTGACAATTGTCAATAATCATAAAATTTTGAGTCATGTAAAGCGAAGGGCGAACAGTGCTTCTTTGCATAATTCGTGGCAAAAATCAACATGGGAAAGGAAAAGGGAAAATTAAGCACTTTTTAAAAACACTCAATGAAAAAAGCACCTTTAAGGGCTTTTAAATATCAAAAATCGAAAATAAGCACCTTTAAGCACTTTTTAAAAACTAACTGAATGTAACTGAAAAATGTAACTGAAGAAGAAAGTTGCAATATATTTGTACAGAGAGCAGTAAAAAACTCTGGTGTATGAAACCGGCAACCAAATTTTGCATTTTAACTCGAAACGTTACCCATCTGTTCGAAAACGATACGGCTGTAATTGAGCTGTAATTCTTTATTAGTGAGAATGATTTGTCTCAAAATCACGATATCGTATCGAAATGCTATCTCCCAAATATTTACCGAAACTGCTTTTCATTACTTCAATATTAGCTCAGTACATTCTGTTAGTTATTCAAAAATCTTTTATCAAATTTGTAAGTCAATTTTACATTATAACAGGATGGTACAGATGGATACTTAAAATACACAGAATTTTCTTCCTTCTTAATAAAACCATTTCCTGGAAAATAGCAGAGCGGAAATTTTTTTAATAATCGGAATTGCACAGCAGAGCCACTTATGAGTTTACGACTATCAATGTTCATCTTCATGGCCTAGTAGATTTGAACTCAACCCAGATGACAAAGGAACTGCTCGATCAAGAATTGGGATAAACTTGTCTTCGTGGAGGAAATTATGACAGAATTAATCTACATTTGAGTTACATGGTGAGAAAAAAAACGAAAGTTTCCTGCGATTAGTCCAATGGCTAAGGGATTATAACCCGTGATCCGTCTACCTCATCGGATATTTTTTCGTCAGCAGTCAGTGTGAGCAGGAAGCAGAATTCGTATCGATCAGTCATCGCTGGGATTCGAACCTGGGTTCCATTATTGGAAGGTAAGCGCTCTCTCCCCTGAGCAACAGAGTGGACATTTTGTAAAATTATGAAATATACTAACTTTAATTTGTTAGAGGATATCAACTAGGTTTCTCGTCAAAGTTTCCCGAAAATAACTGAAAATGCGCACTTTTTAAATTTATTTAAGTTTCATTCCCTATACAATCGGCACTATTGATATGTAGCATTAAACTTAATAATAAATTTTTATAAAAAATTGAATCTTTAAAGAAATGAAGATAGTTAATACTTAATTTGATAAAATACCTCCTCGAAAAAAAGACTATTTGGCAAAAGTGAAGAAAATTTTGTTAATTTTGAATATCTATTTTTTTTTTTACTAAAAAATTCTTCCACAAAGAAATAATTCCGAGAAAATTACCTTATTGTTTAGTTATGACATTTCTGGTAAAAAAAGAAACAATATACTTTTGTTTAATAAAACTAAAATATACGGTATTTTAACCATTCTATTATTAATTTTTCCATTTATATAGAAAGAGTTAAGCGGAAATTCTGGTTTTAAAAATAATACTTCTTATTACCACGCATTTAATACAATACATAAAACTGAAAAGTAAATTTAACCAAACAAATATTTTCTAAGCTGTCCTCTAAGGTATCATAATAAAATTATCAAATTTTATCTCATATTTTATTTTTAATTTTACCAAAATCATTACCAAAACGCTTCGGTAAAAAAAATACCGAGCTTTTTGGTGTTCCCATAGAGCCAGGAACATGGAGAGTTTTACCATATTCTGGTATTTTTGACCATAGTTTGTTCTCAGTGTAAAATATTGATAGACGACAATTCTATAATGCGCAGTTTTTTAAAGTTTTTTTTAAGTTAATGGAGTAATATCATTACAGTTTAAAGGCACTTGCGTCAACAAAAACATGTTTAAAATTTATGAAGATATTTCAAATAGTCACGCACACATTGCCTAAAACTCACGATGCAACTTTATAACCTACATAAATTTCAGCAAAATCACTTAGAATAATCGAGTTCAAATAGAAATTAGAGGTGCTTGGAGTCAATTTTTTTTATTTGTCACCGCGTTTCTCTCTTTTAACTTTTGAATATTCACTTCACTATATTCTTTTTACTAAAAACCACGACATAAATAAATCAATATCATTTACTTTTCAATTTTATGTCATCTACAGCAAAAAAACGTGCATATTTATTTTAAATAATTCTGAATTACATAAGACATTGAACTTAACTTTAAAACAATTACATTTTGTTTCCGATAATATATACATAGGAAACATATTTAAAATTATCTATGCATAATGCATACATAATGTAATTATATAGGCATATGATTATTTTATTGCTTTTTACAAGATCTCATGTTTTTTAGGGTTTTATTTTTTATTTAATGTGACTAAAAATAAATCAACCGATTGTCCGACGTTGTTTAATTTTTGTTAAATACCATAGCAACAACTTATTATTAATATCATTTAATATACAAAATTTCCTTTCCAGAGCATTTTAACACGATTCACCGTTATATGTTATATAAAACATAAATATTACATGATGCGTACTAAATTTATATTAATAAAATATACTATATACTAAATAAATGCTTTTATATTTTAACTTATTTAAAAAACTGCCTTTCCATTTGCAAAAAATTAAGGAAAATAGACTTATAAATAAAAGTTATGATCTAAAAATAACTGTCAAAACACTTTTATAATTTATATTTATTTAACGTTAATACTTATATATTGTTTGTAAGTTATAATAATAATATAATTACATAAAATAACAACATTAAAAGAAATTTATTCTAATATATATAAAAAACACCATCAAAAGAGCAATAGTTTCATAATTTGTATTTAATTAGAAACAATAATTAATTATAATTCTTAAAGTATTAATAAAATTGCAAAAAAATTCTTATGCTAAATATTTGTTCAAACTTATTTAAACAAGACTGTCTAAAGAACAATGCTCTTTTTTTAATTTTGTTTAATTATGAAGGGTACTAAACATACTTATTAAATTACAGGACTAATAAAATTCAGAAATAATGCATTAAAAATCATTCCAAACAAATAAATTCAAAACAGAAATAATTATTACACAGCAAAAAACTGATTAAACTTACCTTATGTTTTTTTCAGACAAAGCATAAGAAAACAGTTCGTAAAGCCACTCCTGTAAAACTCTTCATTTCCATTAATTTAGAACAAATGACGCAAGTTCTCCGAAGTTTTCTGCTGGGCTTCTTTTCTAGATTTCAACGGAGTTCTGCGCTTGCATTTCGAATGCTGAGAACTTCGGCTTGAGTTATCGACTTTCGGCTTACTAGAGTAGGGTTTTAGCAGCGACACCTAGTACGCCCACCTGTAAGTCTATGTTTAAAGTTTCCCACATGTAGTCCTAAAACCAGGGTTTATCAAAACAATCCTTTTGGAATTTTCTCTAATCAATCATTAAGATCAGGTACTATTTGACTAAGGCAAATTCCAGAAGTCAAGTACACAGAATTCGGGTTTTCTTAAATATTAGCTTTATTCCGAAGACTTGTAAAGTTAATAAGTTTGGGAATGAAGTGGAATAGTTAATGTGAGAGTATTCAGTTATTTTTCTTGCGAAGTAATTAAATAGTTCATTCGAAATATTTAGTTGAGAAAGTTTGTTTAATTATTAAAGTCGCGTGTTTGTAATTTATCAAGGTAAAGATTAAGACGGCGATGTTCTTACCATTTGATTGAAACATGACTTAAAATTCAAGAAAATTTTGTTCGTTTCAAAATATAATACACTCGAACTCGCTTATAACGAGACCCGATATAACGAGAACTTGAAAAACAATGGTACTGCCTTTTTTTAAAAACTGCTCCATTTCTTTTTTTTTTTCGCCTTTATTTTTTTATATGGTGTTATTTATGTGATGTCTTTGTATGCGATGTTTTTGTGCATTCTTAAATTTCTCTTCACGATTATTTGAAGGGAAAAAAAACTTTTGGTTAAATTTTCTGTTTAAAAAAATAGCTCCATAAAGTGTTCAGAAACATCATAAAATTAAGTTATAATTATAATATCATAAAACTATCATAATATAATTATCATACTATAATTATCATTAAATTTACATTACACAGTGGTGAATTACGAATATGGAATAGGGATATAATTTAATAAGAAGTTTATTGCACTTCGCATCGTACCTCAAATTATCGTACTATAGTTCAGTCAATGTAAGCAAAGCCATGAAGGTTCAGGGATCGAGCGTTCGCCTTCCAATGATTTGAACCGGGTTCGAATCCCAGTGATGTCTGGTCGATACGAACTACGCATTCGGCTTGCACCGTCCACAGTGCTAACGTAAAATATCCTTACTGATAGACGGATCATGGGTTAGAGTCCCCTTACAGTGGGACTAACCGTGGAAGGTTTTCGTGATTTTCCTCTTCATGTAACGCAAATGCGGGTTAGTTCCCTCAAAAAGTCCTCCACGAAGGCCAATTTCACCTAATACTTGATTCAGGAGTTCCCTTGCCTACTGGATTGGGTTCAAGATTACAAGGCTAAGGAGTTGAACATTAGTAGTCGTAAACCCAAAAAATTGCATCGGCTGTTCAACGACGATTATAAAATAAAATAAAACCAGTGTACGCAGTGTCCAAAAAGTATGCAGTTGGTGAAACAGTGCAAAAAATCTGCATCCGATCAAAAATCTCAAAATACACAGATGTGATGCTTTTAGGAAATATATTGAATGACAAATTATTCACCCCCCCCCCCCATATGAGCCACTATGAGCTGAATTGCTTGGCTCTATGGAAACGCCAAAGAGCACGGTTTTAACTAAAATTATTTGGTAAGGAGGTAAATGTGGTAAAATTTAGCATTTTTTATCACGAGACCTTTGAACATGACATAAAAACTATGTGTTTGATTAAATTTACTTGTGAGTTTCGCATTTTTACAAAATGTGCGATAATAAGATCAATAATTTTTAAAACCAGAATTTCCGGTAAACCGTTACCATATGAATGGAAACCGTGGCCATATAAATGGTTTATATTCCGTATATTTTGGATTTTATACCAAAATTATGTTGTTGTTTTTTACCTGAAATATCTTTATCCTAATTTTATCAGTTTCTTTTCTTGGTATACGTAAATATTTAAGCATAATTTCGAAGATTTTACGAGGTATAACTTTTCAAATTTTGCGGTGCTATATATTAGTAAAGACAAAATTAATTAATAATGTTACAAGTAGATTGCATGAGAAAATGAGATATTTTGCATTAAAAATACTAAAAATAAGCTTATAGCAGCACCAAATTGTTACATATGCCACAGAATTCTTAATAAAATTATCATTTTTAAAAAACTTGCATTCCTCATGACATTTAAATAACTATCATAACTGAAATAAAGTTCGAAATAACAATTATAAGTCTTCAAATTAATTGACAATATGTTTTCATGAAAATGCAGATGCACAGAAATTAGTATTTTTAAAACAATGCCAATGCAATACGATACGAGTCCCAGCTTTGTTTGCCTCTAATTTAACAGGAAATAAACCAGATTTTAATTTAACACGCTCACGCCGGGAAAAGTGAAAATACTGGTACGGGAAAATAGAAAAAACTGATTGAAGAACTATTTCAATATTAGATAATATTCGGGAGGAGTTAATCTATTCTCAACAATAACAATTCACTGTAAGGAAATTTATCACGGCGAAGAAGCAATTCAATATAAAATTTGCATCCATTAAAAACAATTGGTAGTTATGGATTTTTATTATTCCCGGGAAAAAACTAAAAAATGAAATTTATTGTTATCAGTTTTTACTCCGGTGCGCTGCCAAGATGAGACAATCTAGCGTGACATCTAGTAGTGAAAATTGTGTGATATGTAATATATAGCACAGCTTATTTAATACATAGTTTTTAATTTACTTTTGAATAATAAATAAAGAGTTTAATGCTGTCCCAGAATTTTTTTCGCTCTGTTACTTTCATTCTATTGCCATAATTAATTTTCTGTTGAGTTGCTAAAAATGTATTCTATATCATACAATATTTTAAAATTGTCAATACACCTCTTGTACTTTAAGAACATCGAGCATTAATAAGACGAGGATGCATTATTTACTATCTCCTCTGTTACCAACATAATTGTATTTAATTTATTGTTTCAATATCCATTTGATTTTTTAATATTTTGTCAATCTGTTACCATGCTTATGGTAACATATTTTATTTTGTTTTGTTTTGTAACCGTCGCTGAACACTCGACCCAATTTTATGGGTTTACGACTACTAATGTTCACCTCCATAGCCTTGTAATTTTGAACCTAATCCAGAAGACAAGGGAACTCCTAGATTGAGTATTGGGAGAAAGTTGCCTTCGTGGAGGGCTTTTTGATGCAGCCTACCCGCATTTGCGTTACAAGGAGAGGAAGGCCATGAGAACCTCTCACGGTTAGCCTGATGGCAAGGGAACTCTAACCCATGATCCATCTACCACTGAAGATATTTCACGTCAGCACTGTGGTCAGTGCAAGCCAGATGCGGAATTCGCATCGACTGGGATACGAGCCCGGTTTGCCTCATTGGAAGGCGAACGCTTTATCCTCTGAGCCATCGATGGTAACATATTGGTAAATGTAACACAGGGGTAAAGTTGTTGTTTTTTCAATATTATAACCCATTTTTGAAACAAACATAAAAAAAATGCATATTTTATTGTTATCTAAGAAACATTAAAAGCCATAATTAAGAAACTTAGTAATTAGAATATATGTTTGTATTTCGTATGAGATATGTTATGAAGTTAAAAAAATGAGCTTCAATTTATTTGGAAGCTACCATTTATATCGATAAATATTTATTATTATCGATAACTATAGTTCTTATTATCGTTAAATATGATATACATTATCAATAAACATTCATAGATAATTTTAAACAAAAGACTTTGTTTATGCCAAGAAGAATTAGTTTTCCATTAATGCCATACTATTAGTATTGTTTTAAAAAATAATTTGTTTATTGTTATTGGCATGCAAAGTTCCGAGTAAATATAGGAGAGGAAGATAGTGTGAACATCTTGAGGCTAGAGTAAACATCTTGAATAATTTTTTTTATTTATTGGTCGAGTTTTCAATGTGAAACATCATAAATTGGCAACATTAATGTGCCATTACATAATAACAAAGTGAATATTAAGGTTAAAACAAGGTTTTTAAGGTGCAACAGTAACTTTCAAATTGTTTCTTAATTTTTTAGCTTTCTATTTTATTTTCAAAATGTCGACAAAGGTGATAATGTGTTATAAATTATACTGTTGCTCATTTATTTTGATATTAACTTTTGTCTTGTATAGTTTCAATTAATCAGCGTTAAGCTTGAACAAGCATACGTCTTGGTTGAGTTAATGTAGACACATGGTGATGCCCTGTAAGAAATTCCTGATCAAATTACGGTACAAAGTACCGGCACTTTGGGCCGGCGACATCATCGATAAAGTGTATTTTATCATAAAATCCATTTTTACTGTAAAGTATTATGTCGTAATTTCCACAGTAACATGTATTTATTCAAAGTAATTCAGTGATTTTACGGTAATTATTACTGTAAAAATTACGGCATATCAGATTTTTGTCTAAAAAGACACGCTAAATGACTTTTTAAACATTAAATTAAAAAAGAAAAAAAAGCGGAAATGTTTTATCAATTTTTAAAAAATTCATAATTCAATATAGATAATCTATATTCATAGATTAATCTACATATATTCATTTTTTTCATACATTAAACTAAAACAGAACAAAATGTAATGACACAATTTGTTAGATATTTGTGCTTCAAGTAGATTTTTTTCCATGTATCAGATAGCAACTTTATTCTTTTTAATCGCTGTGGTATCTGATCGATATAAATAAATTATAACTTCTTGACAACAAAGATTCAATTAGAGTTAACGACTTTGTGCTAGTCAAGTTTTTTTTTAACAAATGTTGTGCATTGTGCTAGTTGAATGAACGCTGTTTATAGATTTTTCGATAATGATGTTTAATTCTTAAAAAAAAAACAGATGGACGTAGTTTCTCTAATCACAAATCTTTCTTTCTTCAACAAAAAAATAAAATCTTCAAATCTCAAGAAAATGAATAGTTATCAAAGTTCCATCACCAGTAACTGGTTGGAACAACACTGAAAAAAATTCCCATACGTTTCTGATTACATGGTGTAGTTACGGTGCATTTAGTTCCTTGATGTTTCGGATATTTCTTGTAGAGATAGGCTACCGACAATGTCAACCGT